TCGAGCTGCTGCAGCTGCCGCCGCCGCCGAAGGAACCTCGATCCCCCGCGTTCCGGACACCTCGGGCCTCGCCATGGTGAGTGGGGCCGAGGAGCCGCGGCGGAGGCTGGGGGGCGCAGCGTGCCAGGACCCCGAGGCGGACGGAGTGGGGGGGTGGTGTCCGGGCCCCCGCCGGCGGCCTCGGAGTCGCCCCTCGGGGTTGCGGTGGCGTCCGAACTCCCCAAGGGGGTACCGAGGCTCCCAAAGCCACTTTGGCGCCGGGTGGGGTGCGAGCCTTATAATAAGGAGGGGCTGCGGACCCCTGGAGGGAGCGTCTAGGGCCGAAATGGGCCGTTGGATCCCAGAATTGGGGGTGACCGGACCCCTCCCCCGAAGATGACCCGGGAGGGGGTCCTCGATGCAGGCGATGGCGCCGGGGGCGTCGGGAGGAGGGAGGCCGGAGGCCTGGGTGGGAGTGGGGGGGGGTCCCGCCGGGCTCCTGCGGGGCCCAGGACACGGATACGGGATGGATCACTTCTGCTCCCGAGACCCATGTCGGGAGAGGGTCCCCAAGACCAGCCCTTGCAGAAGAGGAGGGCGGGGTGCGGGCGGGAGCGGGGCGCGCAGGTGCGGAGATGCGCCGGAGGAAGCCGGTGGGGACGCCGCCCCGGGTCTTGGGGATGGTGAAATTGGTGCTTTTGCCTCCTGGGGGTGGGCTTTGGGGGGTGGTGGTGATTGGAGGAGTAGCTGGAAAAGGCTCAGAGGTAACCGGGTGGGTTCAGGCTGTTGAAATATGAAGAAGGATGGGGGGGAGGGGTAATCGAGGAGGGGTGTTACCCTTTGGGCTGTGAAAATCTGGGTTTCGGAGGGGGGAAGGGGGAGAGGACTTGGCTTTGGGCGGGGTGGGAGATGAGGTTGATGTAGGGCTGTGGGCGATGAAGGGGGAAATTAATAACAAGCCAAGGCGGGCCTAGGTCTGGAGGCGGGTATGGGTAGCACCCCGCGCTCCTCTCCAGAGAAAGGTCCAGACAAAGCCTGTTCTGGCTGGGGTGGGAGTGGGGGCTGGAGGACCCCTTTCCTCAGGAGGACGCAGCACCAGGGCATTGGGAGCAGGTGGGTGTAGTTGCTCAGGCTGCAATTGCGCACTGAAGCTGCATGAAATGGGAGCGTGGGGGGGAGGATCAAAGTTTGGGGTGCATGGAAGGAGGCTGCTTGTTCAAGCCCAGAGGATCTTCTCTTCTCCCTGACCCTCTCTCCCGCCCCCCCCCCCAAGCCCCATTCAGGCCAAGAAAGCTGCCTTTCCAAACAGGGTGCTGGTTTCTCCTGGTCTCTAGCCCTGAGCACCTTCTGCTTCTCCTCACGTGTGCCAAATGACAGTGCTGTGTGTACAGTGTGGCGTCGGTGCCAGCGGATGCCTGTGCCCGTGGCTTCTGGGTAGAGATGCAGAGCTTGACCACAGCGGGTCCCCCAGGGCACCTTTCGTTGGCCTCATAGCCTCTTGTTCCTTTCAGGGTCTTCTGTTGGGTGTCTCTGCAAATTACCACAGCTGGGGCTGGGAGCAAAAAACAGCCGCTCACAGCCCCCACCCCCCACCCCTCAGCCCCCCTCCAGGCTCCCTGGCAAGGCTGGGGAGTTCAGGCAGCCACCGTGTATCAGATCTCATACTTGCTGACACAGACCCGAGGGCTCCTTTTGCCACCACCCCATTTTTCCCCCAGCAGAGTCTACTAAGGGGCTCCCCCTACCCGCAGCACTGGCAGCACCCCAGGAGGGTCTGGGCTTTGGCCCTGACCAGTTTCTCTTTCCATTTGTCATCAGCAAGGTATGGGTAGGACAAGTTTCTGATAACTGGGGTTGGACTTTGGCTCTGCGCTCCCCCTTGGCCGGGTGAGGCCCTGGCCTTGGTTTCTGAGCTCATCAAACACCACCCTCTGGCACCACTGGCTGAGGGCTGGGCAAGGCTGAGAAATCATACCCTCTTCCCTCCCCCACCCCAAGCTGCAGCCTTAGCCAAGAGCTAAGGGAGCCAGAGAGATTGGTGATTTTGGAGATGGTTTTTGGTGAAAGCCAACAATCTCTGTGCTGGAAAAGAAAGCAGCCTGAGGACAGGGTGACCAGGGATGGGCTGGTGGCGTGGTCACACTGTGCAGGGAGGTGTGGGCATGGAGCAGGGGGGAGGATGGCTGCATGGGAGTGAGTGCCAGCGTCCCACAGGCCTCCACGAAGAGCCACGCCTATTTGCAGCAACCCCTGGGCAGAGCTGAGCATGATTGTGTCTCATTCGCATCTTCCAGCACTGGCCTGGGAATCACAGGCCCCACACAGGCCTGGAGAGCCACCTTGGGCATTGTGCAAGCTGTCTCAGCCCCCTGGCCCCCCAGCCCCTTCCCGTGTGGTGCGGACAGCAGGGCGGGGGAGTCCCTGAGTGGCGAAGACTGCGAATGAGAAGCAGATGGAATGGCAGCCCTCCCCTCCCCCAGCGCCGCTGTCACCAGAAGCCCATCCCTGGCTCTCACTTTCCCTGCAGCCTCCTCAGGTGTCAGGTCTCAGCCCGGCGCTGCCTGCAGGAACCCAGGGAGACGGATAGGGCATAGGGCTTACCAGCCCTGCTGCCAGGTTGGTGTGGCGGCGCCTAGCACCCTGAGTCGTTCAGACGAGTCCATTGGACCTCCTAACCTGCCCTTTTAGACTTTGGATTTTTCCAGAATATGTATGTGTGTTTTTCCTTCTCTTCCTTCCTTCTAGCATCACCCCCCCTCCCCCCAATGCCTGTTTGGAGCTTGGCTTCAAGTTCTTCTTTCCCATGAAACACACACAGGTGGTAGATTGTAAACCAGGACTCTGATGGAAGTTCTAGAACCTTCTTGTAGACTGACACAGTTGCACAGTTGTTTGCTTCTGCTTCTACAGAATCCCATAGCAGAATTGGAGCCCCACCCCCTAACCAGGAAGGGCGTGGTCTGGACCCACACTGGCTGGCACACACACATCCATGTACCTTCTCAAAAGCATCCACCAACCCAAGGGACATTTGCCTTGGGATCTTAAAGCTCTCACCCAGCTCCCGGTGCTCCGGCACAGGGAGGAGGACTGGCTCCTGTGTCCCCTCCCCCGCCCCCTCCTCCAAGCAGGGGTTGCCCTGCCCCCACTGCCCAGGCTGGCCACACTGGAATGGGTTAAAAACTGCAGCCCTTGGAGCAAATGTTCCATCCTTCACCACACGGTCACTGCCTAGAACTCCTGGCCACATTGGTCCCAAAGAAACAGAACAGAATGGCATCTTGCCTACACCATGTGCTTGGGGAGTGGGGGTGGGGAGCGCTTGCCTGGCCAGGATGGTTTGGGGCGCACTGGGACAGCTTCAAGTTAAGAGGATTTTTTTGCCACAGGTCCACCGTGCCTGTCGTCAGATAGGTGGCACCGAGCTGGCAAAGGTGGCCCCAGGCATCTCTCGGCTGCCCTTCCCAGGCCCAGCCTATTTGGGTTCAGGGTTCAGGGCTCCCATCAGTGACATCTCTGCCAGTGCTGTAGCCGCACAACTGCCCTGGAGCCAGAGCAGCGCTCCTCCCTCCCGTGGCTCGTGGGCAGCGTTCTTGGCCCACACCAAGCAGGCCAGGGGTTTGGTCCACCCTGGCACCCAGCTCTGAAACCCTGACTTCATGCTGGCGCCTCTCGCCCAGCAGGGGTGCCGTGTGAAAACGACCTCAGCAGAGGGGGCAGGGCAGATGGGGAGCCTGGGGCCCAGTGGCTGACTGACTGTCCTTCCTGCTTTTCCAGGCTGACCAGCTGACGGAGGAGCAGATCGCAGGTGAGTGCACCATTCCAGCCCTCTCGCCCTGTCCCCACCTCCTGATGGACGAATGTGGGTCCCTAGTGCCAGCATAAGAGCCCATCGGTGAGCCGGTGCGCTCCTCCCGTGGGGCCAGTCCTCAGCCTCTTCTGCGCATGCTTGCACTTGCTTTTCCCTCACAGTTCCCTGCACAACCCCTGCCCACGGCTGCCTGTGTCCCACGGGCTGGCCTCGCTGGTTGCAGGAATTCTAGTGCCACCTGGTGTGTCACCTGTCATTAGACGTGCACTCCTCGAGCTGGGAGGACATGGTCATGTCCTCAGTGCCCCCCCCCCAGGCCCCAGAAAGCTCAGGGTCACAAAGCAGGGTGCAATCGGGTGTGTGTGTGTGTCCTGTCCGTGTTTTCCTCCGCAGCCCGGGTGGCTTGGGGAGTGGAGCCAGCCCTGGCGTCACTCCTAACCGCGGGCCCCGCAATGCAGACAGGGAATGGTTCCCAGCACAGGCATGGGAGCACCCGCACCCCTGACCCCAACTTTACCATAGGACAAGCCCAGCCCCTGCAGTGGGCCAAGGCCAGGCGGCGGCTAGGCCAGAGGAGGCAGATGAACTCCTCCCAAGCCAGTGGCCCAGCCATACTCATTCACAGTGCCTTAACTTTGGCCCTGGGCAGGTGGAAATCTAGATGACTGTGTGCCTTGTTTAGGGGCCTTGTGAGCCACTCCCCCCTCCCCGCAGACAGCAGCGCAGCGTTAGCATCCCCAAGGGGGCTTGGACTGATTGTTTGCTTCTGCTTCTGCTTGGCTCTGGGTCACAGCTGCAGTGTGTGTGTGTGCGTGTGCGTGTGCGCGCGCGTGCCCCTTCCACGCCACCTGCCACCCTCTTGTCTCACAAACACCACCCCATTTTCACCCTGTCCTGTACCTCACCCCGCCCGCCCCCTCTGCCAATGGGCTGTCAGCATCTGTTTCCCAAAGGTCTTAGGGTGGGAAGAACTTGGGTACCAAATGAGCCCCGTGGGAGGGCGGGAACCACGTGCTTCCCTCCTGCCCTGGCATGGCCCAGCTGTGGCCCTCCCACTCGGCACAACGAGCTCCCCCCGACTTCACCCCACGCAGCAGCCCTCTGCTGTGCTCTGCCGATGACCGCGTCCCCCGTGTTCCCCCCCCCCACGGGCTCAGCAGCTCCTCCCCTGGAAGCAGGCAGCACCCACAGCCAAACTGGCAGTGCCAATCAGAAGGGACTCAGCGCCCACATTTCCCCTTCAGGCTGACCAAAGGCGTCCTGCAGCTGCCCCCTTCCCTTCCTCTGCTAACCTTGGCTGACTGACCTTGACTGCCCGCTTCAGGTCGTTTTCAGCTCTCATGCAGTCCATCATTCGCGGTCCCTTTCATCACCGAAGGGGGCGGGGGCGGGGGGTGGTCAGAGCCAGGGGCCAGGAAGTGGGGCGTTGTCTGTGGAGAGCTGCCCGCCGCTTCCCTGGTTCCGTACCGCCCTACAGGCAGCTGGGCGCGCGCTGCCAGGGAGAGGTGGCCTGGTCCTGCCCCACGCACTGCGCACAGAGGTTCGGGCCCAACTTGGGTCTGGCTCTGTTTCTCCTTCCTGCAGGGAGGGGGCCTGTACTGAGGTTCGGGGATCCATGTGGGCCTCGTCACCCTGACTCACCCATCTCTCCCCAGAGTTCAAGGAGGCCTTCTCCCTTTTCGACAAGGATGGAGATGGCACCATTACCACCAAGGAGCTGGGGACAGTGATGCGGTCCCTGGGACAGAACCCTACGGAAGCCGAGCTGCAGGACATGATCAATGAAGTGGATGCAGACGGTGTGCCCTGGGAGTGGGTGGGCAGCCTCGGTCCTGTGCCCCCAAGTGACCACAGGGAGCCCTCTAAGGCAGTGGGCGAGCCTGCTTTCTCTACCCTCCCTTTCCCTCCTTCCAGGCAATGGGACCATTGACTTCCCCGAGTTCCTGACCATGATGGCCAGGAAGATGAAGGACACAGACAGCGAGGAGGAGATCCGGGAGGCGTTCCGCGTCTTTGACAAGGTAGGCAGTCCAATTCCAGCCTGCCCTGTGGGGGGAGCCCCCGGTCCCCCCACCCTGTGAAGGGGGCACAGCCTGGCCCACAGCCCTTCTGCCAGCAGGGGGAGCTAAGCGCAGGTGTGTCCCCACCCCTCAGGACGGAAATGGCTACATCAGTGCTGCAGAACTGCGCCACGTGATGACGAACCTGGGGGAGAAGCTGACCGACGAGGAGGTGGACGAGATGATCAGGGAGGCGGACATCGATGGAGATGGCCAGGTCAATTATGAAGGTGAGGTGGCGGGGCCTGGGACCTGGGAGGGCGGGGCCGGCTCCTCCTGCTCACCCCGGCCCCCCTTCCCCCCCCCATCTCTCGGCAGAGTTTGTACAGATGATGACTGCGAAGTGAGGCCGGGGCACTGGCCACGCCCATTCTCCTGGTCTCGCGCGCTCTTCAACACTCCCCGCGTACCCCGGTTCTAGCAAACACCAATTGACTGACTTGAGAATCTGATAAAGCAACAAAAGATTTGTCCCACGCTGCATGACTGCTCTTCCTCCTTCCCCTCCCTCCGTGCCCCTCTTGGCTTCCTTTGGCCTTCCCTTTCCGTTCCCATCTTCCAGGCCTGATGCATTCACAAGACCACCCCCGCCCTCCTGTCCCCCATCTCCCCCCACCCCAGGGAGCCTCTGCCCTTCTTCCAGCCCGGGTGGCTCTCCTCTGTTTCAGTTTGTTTGCTTTTGTTTGTCCTTTGGGTTGCTGGGGTGGCTGCCAGCCCAGTCCCGGACCTGAGGAGCGGGACGGAGGCCCCGGCCCAGGCCGAGGAGCATGCCTTGCTATTGCATGAGCCACTCCATGCTTCCACGCACGAGCCCAGCAGCCTGGGGGGGGGGGGGGAGCCAGGCACAGGAGGGCATCTGAGGACCCAGGAGCATCAAGAATTGTGGCAGTGACAGGCTATGGCCCAGGACAGGAGTTGGGGGGCGGGGGCGGTCAAGGGACAAGAAGACTCTGGGAGCTGGCATTCCTTTACCACCTGAGGGGATCGCCAGGGCGGGCAGCATCAGGTCCTGCTGGCTGGTTCTGGGGTGAGGCCGCTCTGCAGATGGCCCTTGCCCCTGTTCCTCCAGTGGTCACGCTGGCCTGCACATACCTGGTGCTAACATCCCACGTGGCTTTGCTCCCACCGCCACGGCCCACCACAGCCCGCCTGGGAGCAGTCGCTGTGTGACGTGCCGGTTAGCCTCTTCTTTTTCCTTTATGCTCCTGGAAAGCTCGATTTTTGTCCCAACTTCGCCAGGCCAGCTGAAGGGTGGGGAGAGAAGGGGACACAGCCCACACCACGCTCTCAGAACAAACCTGCAATAACACAGTCGCCGCCACGCAGAGCACGGAGCGGGCAGCCCCTGCCTCCTGCCCACCAGTGCGGCCACCCGCCCAGCTCTGCCCCTCCCGTACTGCCTCTGCCACCGCTGACCCCCCCTGCCCTGCCTGCCCCCTGCCCAGCGGAGAGCATGGTCCGCACCCCCCGCCTCTGGGACACGTCAGTCACCGTGGGCACTTGGGTCTGGGTTTGTTTCCTTTTTCTGTTCTCATCCGCACCCCCCCCCCACCCCAGGTCGATCAAGTGGCTCTTCCTGCCCAGCTTGGAGACTTCTCTACCCTCTGGCAGCAGCCTGGAGGGAGAAGGGAGGGACAGGGGATGGTGGGGACCCAGCCAGGAGCTGAGGGCAAAGGGCAGGTAGGCGTTGAGGCTGTGGACGTACCAGAATGTTTTGGGTTTTTTTGTTTTATGTTGTTGTTGTGTTTTCCTTTTTCTTTTTTTAAACCGGGCAATATTGTGTTCAGTTCAAGCTGTGAAGAAAAAAATATATCAATGTTTTCCAATAAAATACAGTGACTACCTGACCTGGCTCTTCCCCTTGACTGTGCCTTTGTGGGTCTCTTCCCCCACCCCGCCCAGGTAGTTGAGGATGGAGATGGTCCGGCCTGTGTGTGTCTGCCCTGTAGTACCAGTGGGGCCCTGGGACCTCCAGAGCGCTAGGTGGCAGAGCAGCAGAGACCTGAAAGGCCAGGAAGGGTGTGTGGTCTGGGAGGGAAAGTAGGAGGAGCCGGACAGGATGAGGCCAGGTGGGACCCTGGGGGGCAGGGGGCAATTTCAATGGAGATTGGGGGTGACAGCGCAGGTCGACCCCTGTGGCAGGAGGACCTGGATGAGGAGAAAGGCCTCCTTCCCAGTCCTCTGGACCCACTGCGGTAGAAAGGGGTAACAGGAAGCCTGAGGCTTTTCCCAGGAGAGTGGATCATCCAGAGGGGGCGGGCACGCATGGACAGACAAACTGGGCAGAGGATGGATGTCTTGGCTGGACACAAGTTGCCATCAGATGGCCCCACCTCTTCTGTCTGTGGGTACAAGTGCCAGCCCCGGGTGTGGTGGCCAACACAGACTGGCAGGTGGGATGATGGCCCCTGAAGCGGGTGTGTGCCTCTGTGGAGCTGCAGGGGCCAGGCAGGAGGAGGCAGCTGTGCTCCCTGAGTGCTCCCAGCACCACTGAGCCCGCCTGGCAGCAGCCGTCAAGCTGGTTGACAGGAGAGAGCTGGACGTCCAAGCAGGCAGAGCCATGCCATCTTGCAAGTGACTCCACACCCACTGTGGCCACACTGAGTCAAACCTCAGCTCTACATTGGCGGAAGCCGGGCATTTCAGGGCCTTTCACCCGCCTCCAACGCCTGTTCTCATTTTTCCCCCTTGGGCGCTCTGTGTGGGAAGACTTTTACTCTCAGACAGGCTCAGGCATTAAATAATCATGACTTCCCTTTCCTATTCTTTATTAATCAAAGACACCAGCACTCAGCTTTTAATGGCCCCGGGCAGGCAGGCTGCACAAATTCCCCAGTGGAAGCTGCTTCTAGACCTGGCTGACAGCGCTGGTGGACCAGCCAAAGGCCTGTCCTGAGCAGGGAACTAGACAAGGGGACCCCAAGGTGAGGTCCAGGGCCCCCTCCACTTCTGGGAGGTTAGGGGGCAGCTCCCACCCCCAGCGCCAGCCAGGTGTCATTCCCAGTGTGACCAGTAGGTGGAGCCAGGTGGACAGGCAATGCCCGAACTGCTGTGCCTGGAGGGCCAGGTTTGTTTCATTTTTTGCCCCACTGCTGAGGGTTGGACCCAAAAGGCTTTGCGTGCCAGGCACATGCTCTGCCGCTGAGGCGTTTGTATTATTGTCTGGGGTTTAAGCTCAGGGCCTCGTGCTTGTGAGGCTGGCACTCTATCCCCGAGTCATGCCCACAGTCCTTCTTGCTTTAGTCTCTTCCTTTCTTTCCTCCTTCCTTTCTTTTTTTCTTCTCTTGTTTTTGTCTTTTTTTTTTCTTTTTGTCAGTCATGGGGCTTGAACTCTGGGCCTGGGCGCTGTCCCTCAGCTCTTCAGCTCAAGATAAGCACTCTACTACTTGAGCCACAGCACCACTTCCAGTTTTCCGGTCGTTTTAGTGGAAGAAGAGTCTCATGGACTTTCCTGCCCAGGCTGGCTTTGAACTCTGATCCTCAGATCTCAACCTCCTGAGTAGCTAGGCTGACAGGTGGGAGCCACCAGTGCCCAGCTTTTTTTTGGTCCTGGGGCTTGAACTCTGGCCTGGGCACTGTCCCTCAGCTCTTCAACTCAAGGTTAGCGCTCTACCACTTGAGCCACAGCCACTTCCGGTCTTTTCTGCTTATGTGGTGCTGAGGAATTGAACCCAGGGCCTCATGCATGGAAGGTGAGCACTCTACCACTTAGCCACCTCCCCAGCCCCTCTTCTTTTGTTGTCTTTTCTTTTTTGGTACTGAGGATGGAACCCAGGACATCGCACCTGCTAGGTAAGCGCTTTACCACTGAGCTACATCCCAGCCCTTTAGTTTACTTTTCAAATAGAATCTTTATGTTTTTGCCCAGGGCTGGCCTCAGCTGGAGACCCTCCTTACCTATGCTTCCTCATAGCTCTGGTGACAGTCACCTACCACCATGCCTAGATTACTGACTAAATTGGGGGTAAGGGTGGGGAGGGTATCAGTAACATTTTGCTGGGACTGGCCTCCACTTCTGATCCTCTTTCTCTTGCCTCCCAGGTATCTGGAAATTTCAGGTGTAAGCCACCATGCTTGCTTATGTGTGTGTTTGAGTCCCATCTGTGGGTCAGATTGGGGCTAAGAAGACAAATGAATAAAGTCCCTCTCTGACCCCACAACAGACTACAGCAAATGTCTGGCATTCAGTTTCCCAGATCTGTGTACAGCTAGTAACGTTGTGTTTGAGCCGCTGACTGTAATACATACTGATGTGATTATCCAACTGTTGCTGGAGTGGCTGGTGAGCAGGGGAGGGCCAGGGCTGCGGTCACTGCTGCCTGCTATCCCAGCAGCTCAGGGCAGCCTTGCGTGCACAGCGCTCTTAAGAGAAGGGTGAAGAATGAACAAGACAAAGAAGGAAGCCAGGCAGGCCCTCTTCCCCCAAGAAGCCTTCCTGAACATCCCTCCGGGCTCCTCTTTACCCCCTTCATCCTGATCAGGGATTGCACTCAGGGCTTTTGTCATAAGCTACATCCCCAGCTCTTTGTATTCTTTGAGAAAAGATCTCCCTGCCTGTGCCTGGGCTGGCCAAGAACATATGATCCTCCTTCTGCCATTTCCCCTGTAGTAGCTGGGATTACAGGAGTGCACTACCCATCCTGTTGAGCAAGGTGCTTTTTTTCCCCCGGTCATGGGGCTTGAACTCAGCCTGGGCGCTGTCCTTCAGCTTTTCAGCTCAAGGCGAGCTCTCTACCACTTGAGCCACAGCGCCACTTCCAGCTTTTCCATGGTGAATTGGAGATGAAAGTCTCATGGACTCTTCCTGCCTAGGTTGGCTTTGAACCTCAGTCTTCAGATCTCAGCCTTCTGAGTAGCTAGGATTACAGGTGTGAGCCACCAGCACCTTGCCTCTCCCTAGGCTTTTTATTGGGTCTATATATTATCTGTCTGTCTGTCTGTTGATTTACTCTGCCTCCTCCAGCTGTTTTTCTGAGTACAGCTGATGCTCTACCACTTGAGCCACACCTCTAGTCCAGCTCTTTTTTTTTGGCAGTTGTGGGGCTTGAACTCTGGGCCTGGGCGCTGTCCCTCAGCTCTTCAGCTCAAGGCGAGCACTCTACCACTTGAGCTACAGCACCACTTCCGGTTTTCTGGTGGTTTATTGGAGATAGGACGGTCTCTCCGTCCCGGGCTGGCTTTGAACCGCGATCCTCAGATCTCAGCCTCCTGAGTAGCTAGGATTACAGGCGTGAGCCACCGGCGCCCAGCTAGTCCAGCTCTTTTTGATAGTTAATTGGAAATAAGTGTCCCATGGACTTATCTGCCTGTATGAGCTTGGAACTGAGCTCCTCAGATCTCAGCCTCCTCAGTAGCTAGGATTACAGGTGGACAGGAGGCACAGTGCCCAGCTGTCGGTTTGTTTGGAGCCCAGACTGGCCCCAAACTCATGGTATGATGCTTCTTACCTCTGCTTCCCAAATACTGGGATTATGGTCTGGCTGACTTTCTGTTCTACCCCCCCTCCCCACCCCACCCCCGCCCCAGTCCTGGAGCTTGAACTGGGCCTGGGCACTGTCCCTGAGCTTCTGTTGCTCAAGGCTAGCACTCTACTACTTGAGCCACAGCACCACTTCTGGCTGTTTCTGTGTATGCAGTACTGAGGATTCGAACCCAGGGCTCATGCATGCTAGGCAAAGCACGCTACCACTAAGCTACCTTCCCAGCCCCTGACTTTCGATTCTTAAACTCCAGCAATATATGATTACTCAGTCATGACTGTTATGGAAGTTGTGAAATACATTCATTTTATTTTCTGTCTGACATGTTTTTATTATTATTGTTGTACGATTCCCATGACATCAAAGCTATCATCTTGACCGGTTCCAAGTACAACATCCGTGGCATTTGTATACAAGTGGCACGGGGTGGCACCCTTCTGAACTGTTTCATTACCCCCAAGAGAACCTCTGAACCCACTCACTGGTTACCTCCAGCCCATGTTCTTTCTGAACATCATCTGAGGTACAGCAGCTAAATAGAAATAGAGAATACTCGAAACGGCCGCGCCTGAATCCCAGCAACTGCCAGCTGGGACGGCGAGAGTCCTGGCACAGCGCTGCCAATCCCTTAATCAGTTTCTGCAGCCCTGTGGCTAATCACCGGATTATGACCCAAAGCACATCAGGTATGGAAAGGCGATGTGGCTCCAGCCAGCCAGCTCTAGACTGGAGGCAGATGAAGCAGGCCCAAGTCAACTTCCGCTATTCCCCCTGCTGTGTGTGCCAAGGCCCGGTGGCCAGCCCCCCACCCCCACCCCCCAGCCTCCCAGTCTCCCTGGGAAGGTTGATCAGAGGCAGCTGAGTGGATGGGGAAAGGGACCAGGACTCACCCGTGGGCGGGAAGGTCCCTGTTCCCCTCCCCCAAGCCACAGCAACTCACTTCCTTTCCAATAGGTCAGCCCATTCCCAGACACCCCGAATTCCCTGCCCCAGAGGGGCTTGGGAAAGGCTGGAAATCCCCTCCCCCGGTGGGGTCCAGGGCACAGCAGACTTGTCTGTTACTCAGAGAAGTTGACGGTTCTCAAAGTGAATGTGTAAATGGAAGGAAGGAAGGAAGGAAGGAAGGAAGGAAGGAAGGAAGGAAGGAATTTTTGGGACCAGACAGGTGTTCAGGCTTGGAAGCATTTATTTATCCAGGACAGGTCAGGACCGGCTGTGCCTTCCGGGGTAGTCCCCAAAAACCCCACTTCCCCGCCCCAAGGTCTCTATCTTTCTCCTTGGTACCCACAATCCATGGCTCACATCCCATACGCCAGCCATCTTCAGACCAGTAGTGTCACATCTGAAGAAGGGAGGCAGCCCCCCTTTCCTCCCCCATGCCCTTGGGGCTCAAGCTGATGGGAAGAAGGAGGGGTAGGGCAGAAGTGTTCCCACAATCCCCAGCTCTCTGGGAGCCAAGACGCACAGGGGGGGGGAGTGCTTGGGAGAGGGCAGGGCTGTCCCCTGAGGGGTGGGTGGCTGGAGCCCCCTTAATGGATGAGGCTGAGGACGGGAGCCCCAACCCCAACAGACCTGAATATACAGAAGCCACTGGGCTCTTGTCCATTTCTTAAATATTTACACAGGAAGATGGATGGAGAGCAGTCGGCCGAGCCATTGGTTATTTTCACAGACGTGTTCTTCACGGGGGGACCTGCGTCACCCCCCCCACTCCCCCCCACAGCGGCTGCCGAGAAAGAACAGCTGAGCACCCCTTGAATTGGAGGGGGAGAATCAAGGCTCTGACTTCCACAGCCATCCGCTGAATGGGTCCCCGCTTGTCTGCTCCCTGTGTCCAGAGGACAGGCCAGCAGTCAGCAGAGGGAGCAGGCCACCGCTGGCTCGGCTTTGGACAGTGTCCCCTGTGTCCCCGGTGCCACAGGAGGCAGAGGGGCCGTCTGTCTCTCCTTCCAGGCAGACAGAGGCACCCAGCTTCCCTCCTTCCCCTCCAGGGCCCAGGGGGCCTGAGGGTCCCCCCTCTCGGAAGCGGGCCTGGGGATGGCTGTCTGCAACTCCCTGCGGGCAGGCTGAGCCCAGAGACAGCAAACCCAGAGGCGCAGGCGCCTGAAGACGGCCTTGCGGAACAGAATGAACACCCAGGGGTCCAGGATGGGGTTGAAGGCGTTGAAGCGGAAGGCCAGGAGATCCCCCATCTCGCTGCTGTCTGGGGCGATGGCCTGGGTGAAGCCACGGATCTGAGGACAGAGGAGATTGTCAAAAAGTACCAGGAACCCCCTCCCCCTGCAGCCTCTCCTCCCCCTCCCCCCTCCAGGCAGGGATGAGGGAGGGGGCCCTTTCAGAAAGGAAGGAAATTGAGATAAGATCTACTCTTAAAGAAAAAGGGGGACAGATCTTCCCGGGGTGCAGAGGTGGGGAATACCCCAGGAAATCTTATCAGATGGTAGAGCAGGAAATGATGGCAGGGGATTAGAGTCATCTGTCTCCCCATCTTTTTGATCCAGGATTCTCTGAATGATGATGGCTGAGATTTCAGAGACACCCCCCTCCCCGCTCCCTCTGGGCCCTGAAACAGCAACATGCAGACCACTGTGTATAGATTTTCCCAGTCTCTGAGGCATCATAACTGCGCCCCACCCAAATGGTCTCAGGATCCCCTCCGTCCAGCTCAACATCTTCATTTTACAGAAGCAGGAAAACTGAGACCAGAATAAATGTGAGATGAGCAAAGCTGGGCATTGTGGTGCACACTTGTAATCCCAGCAATGGGGAGACTGAAAGCAAGAAGACTGAACATTCAAGGCCAACCTGGACTATGTAGGAAGAGCCTACCACACAAATCAAGATGTCACCCACCAAAGCTGCTCCAGTGGGAGGGGGTGGACGGGGGCCCTTGGACCATTTCCTGTCAAACGCTGGAGGAAAGGCCCATTCAGAGGTCTTAAGTTGCTCGCATCTGAATATGGGGGGCTCATAGATCGTGGGACCTGTGCTCATAGAGGAGATGGAGAGTCGGGGTACACTGGCTGATCAAGGGTCAGGGAGTGTGGAAGAGGTTGGAGGAGTCCAAGGGGGCAGAAGGGATTTCTCTAGAAAGTTGTGACTGCTTTGGCAGGGGACCAATCTCTTTTGAAGCCAGGCATCGGTGGCTCACGCCTGTCATCCTAGCTACTCAGGAGGCTAAGACCCGAGAATCATGGTTCAAAGCCAGCCTGAGCAAGAAAGTCTGTGAGCCTCTTATCTCCAATGAACCACCCAAAAGGCAGAAGCCTCAAGACTGGCACCAAAAATTAAAAAAAAAAAGCAATCTCTTTTGAGACTCCGTTTCCCCATCTGTGAAATGGGTACCACCCAGCACGGGCAGAGCCCAGCGGCTGCCCTCCTCCCCTGCGGATGGGGTACTCACCGTCAGAGGCAGAGAGCACACCGCCATGATGCCGGTCATGAGGCCCAACAGCATGAGATGATCCACCTCGTCCTCACGGGTCCCCGCGCTGGGCACCAGCGAGCCCTGGCACCGCCGCTGCTGGCGGTACATGCGGCAGAGGCTGACGGTGACAGAGCCGTTGCACAGGAAGATGGCGCTCACCAACAGGGCCACCAGGCTGGCATAGGCCAGGGAGAAAGCACAGCCACCTGGCTCAGGTGCCCGCAGGCGGATGAAGCACCAGCTGCCCGGGCAGTACTGTTGGTGCTGACCTAGGCCTAGGAGGGGCAGGGTACAGAAGACCAGGCAGAAGGCATAGATGGTGGGCAGCGCCAGGCGGGCGCAGCGTGGCCCATCCAGCTGGGCGTACAGGTAGGGGTGGCTGAGCGCCAGGCAGCGCTCCACCGCCATGGCGAAGAGGATGAGCGTGGAGGCCAAGCCGAAGAAGGTCATGGCGAAGGCGAAGGCATTGCAGAGTTCAGGGCCCCCGTGGGCCAGGCCCAGCAGTGAGCTGTTGCGGGCATAGGCCACGAACACGGCCGGGCTCAGGAAGCAGGTGCCCAGCAGGTCGGTTACGGCCAGCCCGGTGACCAGCACGGCAAAGGCTGATGGGTGTGAACGGCGCCGGCCGCCCAGGATGCCCAGGGCCAGCCCATTGCCCGCCACGCCCGCCACGAACATCAGGGTGCTGGTGGCTGGGCCCACCGAGTCCCGTACGTAGGTGAGGTTCTTGCAGGAATCAGCCATGGCTGCCCACCGCCTCCCCACCCTGGTGGGAGGGGTGCAAAGGGGAGGGCGCACACTCAGGTACCCACGCTGGCCTCAGTCTCTATGATGGCCCACATCTGCCTCTCAACCCCCAGTCCTTCATGGGCGTTGGGGAGGGGGGGGCTGGCTGCCTGCCTGTTGTCTGTCTATCTGTCTGTCTTTCTCCCCTTTGTCTTCCCCAGTATCTATCTACCTCCCTTAGTTGTCTGTCTTTTCCTCCTAATACCCCCGAGATCCGTGTCTGTCTTTCTCTTGCTCCCTGCCTGTCTGTCTGTCTGTCTGTCTTGCTCTCTTATCCACCCCTGCCTGCCTTTCTCTAGCCCTCTCTCTCTCTCTCCTCTCCTCCCCTGAAGTTCTGTTTCCTCAGCCTAGCTGGCTGGCTGGCTGTCCTCTGTCTGTCTGTCCGTACCTCCTTCTGTCCTCACTCCCGGCCGGCCGGTGCGTGCTGAACAGAAGTCTGAGTCCTCTGTCTGTGGTCTGTGTCAGCTTCTCCTTCTCCTCTCTCCTCCCTCCTCCCTCCCCACGGCTCACTCGAGCCCTGGCTTTTTCATTTCCTCTCTGCCCCGCCCTCCCTCCCCCCTGTCTCCAGAGGCCCCCTTGGGCTCCCTGCCCCCTTCCCAGCCTGCACCCGGGTCTTTCTCTCTGCTCAGAGCATCCATTTCCTGCCCCTGTGTTTCCCCCTCCCCATCCCATGCACCCCCTCTAGCCACCTGCCACCCCTGTCCACACTCAGGTCTTGGCCGTCTTGTGGGGTGGAGGTTTGAGTCCTAGTCTCCATCCGCCAAGCTCAGGACCTGAGCCCAGTTCTCAAGGTTGGCCAGGAGATGGGGAGATGGGGGGGGGGTAAAAGATCTATTCTGGGCTCCAAGCCCCGGGGTTAGGAGCAGGGCCCAGGGATTGAGAAATGACCAGGAAATTCCTCTGGTCCTCATAGCCATTTCCAGCCTCTACTATGCGCGCTCTGCTCCCTTGATACCGTTCCATCTTCCCCTGGGCTGGGGAAGGAGACAGCCCGCCTGGCCGGGTCTGGTTCCTGGGGGTCCTCGCTGGAGTGTCCTGAGCCGGGAGTAGGGGTGAGAAGGTAAAGCCTGCTTGTGGTCCAGGAGTTGTAGTCGGGTCCACTCACTCACCAGGGCCCTGCAGGCTTTTTGAGGCCCTTCCAGGCCCCAGGCCAAGCGCTGGTGACCTTGACCTCCAGGAATCATATTTTAGTCCTGTCGGATGGCCATCCAGGGTTCCCACAGGGGTGTTCCCACACTCCCCCAACACCCAGACTGGGTCCCTGGGGCCAGCGTGGCCAGCCCTCGAGTTACCGCTGTCAACAGGGTGGTTTCCAGACAGCCCCCCCACCCAGCCCTGAGGCCTGGAGGGGCCCATGCCCACACCCCTCGTTTTTCAGGGAGACCTATAAAGGCCTGAGGCTACTAAGACTCCTGTGACTGTCATCTGGTCAGGTGATGGTCCCCACAAAGGGGGGGCCACAGGCCCCCTGCCCCAGGTGAGCTTGGTAAGAAGGAAAGATCCAGAGGATCACCCCTGACCCAGCCCAGTACGCCATCTGCAGCCTTTCCCTTTCTGTCCCCACCCCATGAACCGCAAGCTCCGGGCCCTCCCCCATCTCCCTATCAGCTGGCACTCAGCTGGCACCCCCGACTTCCGGTGCCACAGCACCAGGGGAACAGCATGCTGGGACCAGGCCGGATGCTGGGATTCCTGGAGCTCTCTCCTGCTGGCTTCCGTCCCCCAGCAGGGGATTCTGGACATCTACTCCTGCACCTGTCTATGCCTCAGTTTCCTTCCTGCATTGTGAGGGCCTCCAAGCTCTGGGCTTTGGTAATAGAGGCTGCTGGGTGGCAGCAACCATAACTTCTTGCTAGCAAGAAGGGCCTTGTGCTAGGGGCCTAGGTGAGCATGTGCAGGACCCTCCAACTCCCAGAGAGGCTGAGACCACCGCCAGCCAAGCCCAGCCCAGGCCCCTGGGTGAGAGGCGCTTCTGGAGCTAGGGAAGGAGCTATGGGGAGGTGAGTCAGGAGTGAGCTCTTCACACACTGTTAGGGACAGGACTCAGCTTCCCCAGGGGACCCCAGGTCAGAAGAGGAAGGACAGCCAGACACACAGGGAAGACTGACTCAGGGATATGGGGGGGGGGTGCGGGGAAATGGAGGCCCAGGAGAAGCGGGTATGAACTTGAACTTGGCATGTGAGTGTGTGTGGGCTGATGGGGGCCGGAGGGGGAGGGGGAAATCCCAAGTCCCAAGCATGGTGAGTGTGTGTGTGTGTGTGTGTGTGTGTGTGTGTGTGTGTGAGTGAGTGAGAGAGAGAGAGAGAGAGAAAGACAGAGAGAGAGAGAGAGAGATCATGACTACAGCTCATGGCTATGTTGCTGTGTTGTGCAGACTTGGGGATAAGCTTTTTCTAGAAGGCGTAGTGGGCTTATTGGGGCATCTGTTTAGCTGGCTCTCTTCTTTGTGGCTCTTTCTACCAGGGTGTGTGTTTGGATGGGTGTGGGGGGGCAGTGGAAAGAGAGAAAATGTTTTGTTCAATTTGGCTTGGGTTTTGCAATCCTGGTGGTGGCTTCCTGGCTAGGCGAGCGCTCTGCCACGCCAGCCACACCCTCAAGCCCTTTTGTGTGTATTTTGTTCTTGACACTGAAGTCTCCCAAAGTTGGCCCAGGCTGGCCTCGAACTTCGAATCATCCTGCCACCATCTTGCTGAAGAGCTGGGATGACAGGTGTGTATCACCACACCTGGCTGTGAAGGTGTTTGTGTGTTTATTTGCTTTTTTAAACCTCATCCTTACCTCTCCCCATGGTGCTATCATTCATTCAGCAGCCTCACGGTTTTACTGTGTGCCAGGACAAGTTGGGGACACACTGGAGTCCAGAGGGCGTCGTCCGATGGGGGCGTGTATGTCCACATGGCATGTGTGTGGAGTGGAGCTGAGTCACCCTATATCCAACTGGGGCTCCCATCTGGGTGTGTATCAGCAGGGCAGCAAAGCCAAGCTGGCCAGGAAGGGAACTGTTTGGGGCCTTTCCGGTACCCATCAGCTGCTGCCTCTTCAGCCCTGAGTCTGGGCTACATCAGGACAAACTGCAGCCCAGTCTTCCTCCTCCCCCCCTGCTTTCCACCCTCCTAAATTAGGCTTCTCCTCACCCAACCCCCTCAGCCAGGCTTGTACTGCTCTAGGGTGGGGTGAATGGGATACTTGGGGGCCAGGCAGTGGCGGGGGGGGGCACTTCCCAAGGCCCTGCCACCTCTTGGCCAGGCTGTGACCCCAGGCTGGGTCTGGCCCCAGAGTTGACCTCACAGCTGGGCGGGGCAGGAAAGAGCTGGGCAGCAGGGACCAGAGCTGGTCGGGCTGCGTTAGCGAGGATAATGAGATTAACGGGATCTGTGCTCATGGCGGCTGGTCACCCACGACCTGTCCCTCTCTTCTCCAGCCTCTTCCCACAGACATCTTCTCCTGGTCCTCCCTGTGGTCAGCCCCATGGGGTCCGAATATTCCAGAATTCAAGAGCTAGATGTTCTGGGGCTGATCCTAGATGCCTTGGCTTTGAGGTTCTTAGTGGGTGCAAGGTGCTGAGTCTGATATTCTAGAATGATCTGGCTCCATCCACCCTGGCATCTTTTCTCCTTGCCTCCTTCCAGCCTCAGCTCATCCTTGGCTCTCTCTCCCCTGTCCCCCTTCTCCCTCGGGGCTCCCACAGACATGACGCAACCAGGCCGGAGCCGGCTGAGAGGTGGGAGGCAGGAGGGAGATGTAATTACAGCCGCTTCTGCCTCCATCCTACAGGAAGCTCAGAGTGGGGGCCCAGGGGACCCTAATTTTATGTGAATATGGAGCCTTTGCTACACTCATGCAAGCTCCCCCTCCTGCCCCTGGCCCTGGAAGAGAGCCCAAGGCAGCCAGAACCAGCCAGACCCATTGCATGAGCTGGGAGGGAGGGTCCCCAAGAGTCAGAAAGGCTTGCAAATTCAGGGTCTCCCCACCCCCAGGCTAGCCCGGTCAACCAAATCAAACCCACAGATACCCCCGAATGTGTATGTGTGGCTCCCAGTCTCTCTCTCTTTTTCTCTCTCTTTCTCTTTCTCTCCTCTCTCTCTCTCTCTCTTTCTCTCTGGTGGCTCTGGGATTTGAACTCAGGGCCTTGCACTTGCTAGGCAAGCTCTACATCACTTGAACCCTACTTTCACTCATTTTTTTTGGTTGGTCATGGGACTTGAACTCTGGGCCTGGGCGCTGTCCCTTAGCAATTCAGCTCAAGGCGAGTGCTCTACCTTTTGAGCCACAGCGCCACTTCCGGTTTCCTAGTGGTTTATTGGAGATAAGAGTCTCATGGACTTTCCTTACAGGTATGAGCCACCATCACCCAGCTATCCCCAGTTTTGATAGAAACAAGGAACATCTCATCTTACCTATATGCAGCGACCCCACCCCCAGCCCACCCTCCATGGTAAACAGCAATTCAGCTCCCTTCACCAGGAGATGCTGGGGTAGAGTGGAGACTTTGTCCAGCTGAGGAGTCAGGGCCTCTCTCAAGGCTGACTCTGAGGGTCAACACACCTTAGAACTCCAGGGAACCTGGCAATATAGATTTTTTTTTGAGCAAACTTGACTTATGTACCCATCTGTAATCCTAGCTACTCAGGAGGCTGAGATCTGAGGATCACAGTTCAAAGCCAGCCCGGGCAGGAATGTCTATGAGACTCTTCAATGAACCACCAGAAAACCAGAAGTGGCACCATGGCTTGAAGTGGTAGACTGCTAGCCTTGAACAAAAAAGAGCTCAAGGACAGTACTCAGGCCCTGAGTTCAAGCCCCACAACTGACAAAACAAACTTCCGGGGCTGGGAAGGTGGCTCAGTGGTAGAGCGCTTGCCTCGCATGCATGAGGCCCTGGGTTCCATTCCTCAGTACCACATGAACAGAAAAAGCTGCAAGTGGCGCTGTGGCTCAAGCAGTAGAGTGCTTGCCTTGAGCTGAAGAGCTGAAGGATGGTGCCCAGGCCCAGAGTTCAAGCCCCATGACTTACCCTCCAAAAAACCCAAAAACTTCAGGATGTGTGTGTGTGTGTGTGTGTGTGTGTGTGTTGGAGGATTGTGCCCATTAATTTGTATCTTCTACTTTCTACTAGCCACATTTCTTTTGTCTTCAAGCCCCCATGTTTAGCTCCCTTACATCTCATCCAGATATGTCTCCTCCTCCAGGAAGCCCTCTTTGATCTCCAAGGTGGGTGAAGTGCTACCTTTGACCTCACCCCAACAGAGACAGACCTATCTATCTGCCTATCTATTGACTCTGAACCCCAGGAGGGCGGAGTCTGGGCTGCATCACCCACAGATGGGCTGCCAGCATCACTCAGCACAGAGCTGTTTCTCAGGGAATGTTTAAAAGAAGGAAGGAAGGAACAGAGAAAAGACTCCATGCTTGAGGA